TCCATCTACAGTTGCATCATGTGGCAGAGTTAATTTTCATTCTCTAAAGCAATCACTATACACATATATGTGTGTAAAATAAAGTGGACCCAATTATATATGTAAATGGTCTTAAGCTTGAGCTTCAATTATTGTAGGTGGTGCTAATTCAAACTTTTGACTTTATCTTTAATATGGATTAGTTGCAACACAATTATGTTAAATGTGACTTTAAAGCTTCTTCCCTTTGCTTAATACTTTTTTATTTCTCTCTCATTCATCTTATTTGTGTTTTATTTTGTCCTTTTGCTTTTACCTTTGCTTTCATCACTTTTATCTATTCATTATGTCTTACTTCTTACTTGTTTATTCCCTCTTCAAATCCCTCAGATAGTTTTTATATTGTAGCAATTGATTGCCTTAAGGAGTATATTGATCTCTTCGACTTTGACATATTGTTTAAGGTTGATATTGCAATGCATCAACTAAAGATACTTGTTCATTCAAAATTTTTGTTTAGTATTAGTCATCAAAGAAGATGAAATTTTCAATTGTAAATGTCAAGGAGGTGTTAGAAAAGGGTGTTATCTAAAAGTCTTGAAGTTTTTAAGTGTGTGAATCTCATCTTGTAACAAAGTTTAATAGGAGTATTTGATTCTACATCAACTATCATTTGTTAAACAAGGTAATTATCTTGGATGTATATCCTCTTCCTCACATTATTAATCTTCTAGATCATTTAGGGATAAGTTATTAGTTCACTAAGTTAGATTTTGTTTCTAGATATTAGATAATGCCAATAGTCAAGAAGAATATTATTGTAAGAAACCAAAAAGGATGATTCAAGACACGATCCATAAAGGTTCAAATATAAAGAGAAAGGGCCTATGAACAAGAATGCACCTCCTTTTTCCAATCGATTAAGCGTTTTGGAATACTTGGGGTTAATGTAAGCTCCTGAATTTGGACTTCCCGGGAGGTCACCCAGCCCAGTACTATTCAAACCCAAGGACGCTTAAACTCCAACTATCCTAAGACCTTTAACCGATTGGAAAGGGGGTGCACTCTTGTTCATGGGCCCTTTCCCTCTATATTTAACCCTAACGGATCGTCTCTCAAGTCGTTCCCTTTAGTTGCTTACAGTTAAGTGTCCTTGGGTTTGAATATTATTAGGTTGGGTGATCTCCAGAGAAGTCCAAATTCAGAAACTTACAATCATTTAGTTTATACAAGTTTTTGGTGATGCTATTTGGTTTGAACAATGCTTTAACAACTTTCTAATGGATTATAGTGCATGTGATTATGGGATGAAATTTGGATATATTATCACCTTAGATTTTTGGCACTTGGGGGATATATGGGGATAAAATAGCCATTAAAGTGGATAATTATATCTTTTCTAATTGGATTAACATGAGAGGGTGTTACACTAATAATAAATGAGGTTCTCTGTGATATGCTAGAGGTGACTACTAACAAACTATACAAATGATTTTGAAGCTCTTAAGTGAAGATCATCCTTAGATGAGTGGGCAAATTGAGCATGTCAATCAAATAGTAAGAGATATACTATAATGTAGCATTGGCCAAAGGTAGGGATAATAGAATTTATATCTTTCATTAGTGCAATTCACTTACAATAATATTAGGCACAATGAAACTAAGTTAAATCTTTACTTTTTCATGTTTGGAAGGCATCTCTAAATACCATTGGAGAGGTGACTATTAACTTTATTAATAACATCTTAATTCATTTGGAGGGAGAATGGGAATAATATATTCATAATATTCACAAAGTGTTGGATCAATTGTGAGAAGTTGGTTTGAAGCTAAAGCACTTGAAGTATATCTTTGGGTTCAAGGATACGTCTCATGAAGTTTTGCAAATTATTTGATAAACTTTTAGTTGTTCTAAAGTTCCCTATTCTGAAGTATATAAATGATGTATAATTCTTTTTAGGTAGGATGTAATATCTTGGTTGTTTTATTGATCATTTTTTTAATTATACTACACTATTGCAAGCATTGCTAAAACTATCAATATTACCTTTTATATAAGTAGAGGTGAATTACTTCATAATAGAGGAGTGTTTAGTAAACAACCCTAAGCCCTAACCCCCAACACAACAGTTTAGGGTTTTAAGATAGAAAGCTCTAATTCTTGGACATTACTAAAATTTGATAATGCTATGGTTACTTCATTGTTGAAGCAAAAGAACTTAGTTGGTCATACTGTTCGATAGGCTTTAAAACTCCATATATATAATATCAAAGTTGTTCATTTCCTGAAAAGTTATATAGTTAATATTAATGCTCTTTCTTGAGCTCCTTTCCTTTCTTTGTCCTTTTATTATATACTTGATGAGTTTGTTGTTCCATTTATAACTTCTTGAATTTGGCTAATACTAACACCCTTTGTTGAGCTCTTCTTATTTTTTTACCCTCTTTTCTATTTTCTGATGAGTTTGTTGTTCCACTTGTAACCTCCAGAATTTAAACTTCCTAGGAGGTCACCCACCCCATATATAACTTTATGAATTTGGACTTCCTAAAAGGTTATTTAACCCAATATTCTTTAAACCCAAGGATGTTTAATCTTAAACATCTCAAAACTCTTAACCAATTGGAAAAGGGTGTGTAATAGCCCTTTCCTTTTATATTTTAACTTTAATGAATCATTTTTCAAGTCGTTCTCTTTATAATTTGTTATTTATAATTCGTGTTTTAAGTTGTTTATAATTCGTGTTTTTGTTAGATATCAATATTAATATATGGTGTGATTGTAGCATATATGACTTTTACACTTTACTCTAGGGTGATTTACCATAGGATAACCATAAAGCAAAACTAAACCTTTGGATACATAGGCCAATGTTAGTAGAGCAAAATTTAAGTTTCAAGGCTTTAGACCACTAAATGAAAAGACAGTTAAACTCCCAAATTATAGCTAAGGAGTGAAAGAATTGAAGCATGAAGTGACTCCTAAGCATAAAACTCAAGGAGTGAAAGAACAAAAGCATGGAGTAACATAAAAATAATCCTAGAACATTTAACATCCCAAATATGTGAAATGAAGCCAAAAAAGGTTTTGGCATTATTTTAGTATATCAATAGTCTAATTCAAGGATATGAGTACCCCACTAACTAGCATGGTTAAGAGTTTTGGCTTAGACTCAAGCCAAATGCAAAATAAAGATAAGCATGCAAGTGAAAGTTAAACTATATCTTAAGTTAGTTAACCATACATTCTACCCACTATCTCTATTATGTGAATTTTTCTATTAACTGGACATGTGACATGATATTATTCAGTATATGTATAGTTGCATTTGATGCGAAGCTCATAATACTCCCCTTTATGCTGCAGAAAGACAATTGGGCTCAATTGTAATTTTCCATTTATTTAAGTTAGTAACATTTGATCTAATATAGTATTTTCCATAATCGACTATTAGCATAAATACATTATTATCCTTTTCGACTAATTGACTTGTTGGGTGGAAGATTGTGTTTTTTTTGTGAGTTTCTGACTACTATTGGATATTTCCTCCTCAATCGAGTGGTGTTCTAGCATTCTTATTTAGAGCAAATTTTATCATATAATAATCTTGCATTTATAATTGAGGCATTTCATGTTTTAATGTCTTAGTTAAGGATATGCATACTTTCACAAGTGTTTATTATTCATAAATAGATGGTTTGGTGGAATAGATTGTTCAAACAATCAAAGTGATGATCACAAAATATATGAAATTTTAGCATTTGGATTGGAGATAGTTATTTACTGTTTCTTTGGTATACATATGTCACATAAGTATAAAGTTTGTTGGTGCTTCATTATATAAACTTTTATATGGTCATGATTTAATATTTTCAACGAAGTTGAGATTATCTTTGCAATTGCCATAAATTGCCAATATTAAATCTTAGCATCATTAATTTGACAAACATTCTTCCATTGGTTCAAACAAAGTTTATTGAATATATAACCATGTACAAGTGGGACAACAACCGTACTATAACTCCTATCATCATTTACCTACTATAAACAACCAAAGAAAATGATTTAAGAAATGATTTATAATATTTAAATATAAAGGGAAAGGGTCTGTAAACAAACATACACCCCCTTTTTCAATCAATTAAAAGTATTGGGATATTTAGGGTTAAGTGTTTTTAGGTTTTAATAATACTGGGTTAGGAGACTTTTTAATTTGTCTAAAGGACTTCTTATTCAGTGAAAAAAACTATACATAGACATAACATTTAACATAACATTTAACAAACTAATCCTCCTAAAATTATATATGTATTATAGTTGAATGCTTTGCTTAAAGGGGTAAAAAAAGATTAAAAAATTGACACCATTTACAAATCCACTGGTGTCTCTTTGTACACAGATGTGACATTTAATATAACATTTAATAAACTAATCCTCCAGAAATTATATATATATTATAGCTAAAGTGCTTCAATAAAATGGATAAAAATTAATTAATACCATTTACAAATCCATTAGTGCTTCCTTTTGTGTTTTTCCAAATCCTAGCTATCAACTAAAGAACATTAACTACCTTTATCTTTACAAGAGGAGGGGATGATGTGAAATTTAAATGTATTGGCTATAATGTTATACATTATTATTAAAGTTGTGCAATTTTGGTAGTTATAAAATTTGTTTCAATCCATACCATTTGCTTTTATATATAAGTTATGGTTTTGGGGCTAATAAAAAATACATATTTTTATATTTTATTTTTATATTCCATGCAATTACATAATCAAATTTTTATTATTCATTAATGTTATTTTTATAGAGTTTCATGAATTTTCATTTTTGTGATTTAAACTTTCTTAAAAATTACTATCTGATTTTTTAATTAATAAATGTTTCCTTAAAATAAAAATAGCCTTTTAACATTTTAAATTCTGAAACTTTTTGCTTCTAAAATAGCACTAATTGGAAATAAAATCTCAGCTTTATAATTTTTTCAAATTAAACGCTAGGGATATCACTTATATGTGTCTTGTGCTCAGGCAATGGCGCTCCTGGCTATGGCGACAGCCACCGCATTCAGTCCTCTTGCCACGGATCGCCACAAGTGGAAGTCGAGGACTGCGCGAAGATCTTCCTCCATCGTTGCCATGGTTGCCGTCAAGAACGATGAGGACGAGCCTTGCATTGTTGATCCTCTTCTTCCATCGGAGCGAAAGGTACTACCGTTACATTTTCTCGTAGCTAAGCAACGATGGCCTTGCACTGACAGAGATCGCCGTCAGACCTTGGCACTCTTTTTCGAAGATTTTCCAAAGTCGCTGCGCCATACTGGAGCTCGGATGACAAATCACAGGCAAGAATCCGCCTCGTTGGTGTCTTCGCTCTCACGCTCGCAACGACGGGAATAAGCGTGGGATTTAACTTCCTTGGGAGAGATTTCTACAACTCACTCGCAAGTAAGTTTTAGACTATTTTCTGATGTGTATCTTTCTTTCTTCTTTCAGGCAAGGATCAAGAGCAATTCACTCGGCAGCTCCTATACTATCTGGGAGCATTCATTGCTGGAATCCCGGTAAGCTTTTGGTGGTTTCTTCTATTTTTTTCAACGATTGAAACCATCAACACTTTGATTGAAGGTGTTTGTCTTCCGAGACTATAGCCGTGATACTTTGTCTCTTCGCTGGAGAGCATGGATGACAAAGTATTACTTGGAACGATATTTTGAGAATAGATCATTCTACAACATCCAGTCTCAGTCGCTTGTGGATAACCCGGATCAACGCGTGGTCGACGATTTAAACTCCTTCACAGCCACCGCTTTGGGATTCAGCCTAGCTCTTTTCAACGCTACGATCGATCTTATATCCTTCAGCGGTATTCTTTACAGCATATATCCACCGCTCTTTGGAGTTCTTGTAGTTTACTCCATTGGCGGCACTGCAATAAGCGTTGCGCTAGGAAAGGTAGATTGTCTTGTTTATCTTTTTATATCTTGCTCAGCTCCGGTAAATGCAGGGTCTAGTGGATCTTAACTTTATGCAAGAAAAGAGAGAAGCTGATTTTAGATATGGCTTGGTGCGCGTGCGAGAAAATACCGAGTCTATTGCGTTCTATCAAGGAGAAACGAATGAGATCCAGCTGCTGCTGGAGCGTTTCAGACAAACCTTTGACAACTACAGTGTACGAGCTTTTCTCTTGTGGTAAATATCGCGAGTGCACTGTGTTGCCCCCGTGCTCTTTGTTGCTCTCTAGGCAGTGTTTTTTTTTCAAGTGTTCTGAAAACTAATGCTTTTTCATTTGTGACTTTACAGCAACTGCTCTTAGCTTCGAGAAATCTTCAGTTTTTCCAAAGCGGCTACAGATATGTGATCCAGGTTTTACCTGCAGCCGTTGTTGCTCCACTCTATTTTACTGGCAAGATTGATTTCGGGGTTATCAATCAGTCTTTTTCTGCGTTCAACCACATCCTGGGCGACTTTTCCTTGATCATATATCAGTTTCAGTCGCTGAGCTCGTTTTCTGCTGTTATTGATCGTCTGGGTACGCTTCTATATATTTCCTTTCGGCTTGTTTGTTCCTATTTTATGGTTGTCGTTTCTTATTGTTTCTTACAGGTGAATTCAGTGATATACTGGATGCACAAGTAGCAACTGAGGATCTGATAGGCATCAAAATCTTTGACTACGTTGAGAAAGATGCAAAGCCTCTTCTTTTGGAAGTGGAGGAGTTAACGCTCCAGACCCCTCAGTATACATTGGTTCTTATCGAAAACCTCACGTTCAGTATCTCTCAAGGACAAAATCTTCTGGTTCGTATAAGCAAAGCTGGATGTGTTGTATTTTAACGTATTTTATAGGTGATGGGTGCCAGTGGGAGTGGAAAAACATCGCTTCTAAGAGCTATTGCTGGACTCTGGAAGTGTGGAAGCGGGTCAATCAAACGCTACTTTACCGGAAACTCCTCCAAGTCCAATGGCTCCATCCTGCTGGAACGCACCATAGAGGATATCTTGTTTCTTCCTCAGAAGCCATACATGGTCCTTGGAACATTAAAACAGCAGCTCCTATATCCAACATGGAACGTGGAAGAGAAAGAGGAGCTTGATGATGGTAAACACTTGTTTTCTCCTTTGTTCTTCACAAAGTTCTAGCTTTAACTTCATTCCTGCATGTAGGCCTACTTTCGCAATCCTCCACACGACCAAAACCCCGAAACGCTGAGCCAGCTGATGATCAGCTAGCGGAAGTTCTCCGCCAAGTAAAGCTGGGACAACTCCTCACTCGCTGCAATGGCTTGGACTCCTTCGCCGACTGGTCCAGCGTGTTATCCCTGGGAGAGCAGCAGCGCCTTGCGTTCGCCCGTATGCTACTTTCAAAACCAAGGCTCGCTCTCCTGGACGAAGCAACCAGCGCTCTCGACGAAGAAACTGAGGTCTGTGCTGAGTTTTTCTTGATGATGATGATGATGGTGATGGTATTGCTGCGCAGGCACATTTATATGGAGTGCTGAAAACATCAGGGATATCCGTGATTAGCGTCGGGCACAGAAGCACGCTCCGTCGCTTCCACACGCACTTGCTCAGGCTCGACAATAAAAACGATGCCAACTCTTGGTCACTCGAGAATCTGGAGCAATGCGAGCAACAAACTCTTGGCACCAACTGAGAGATATTTATGCACTCCTGCAGGCCACGCCTCACGGGTAAGCACTGCTGTTTTTGTTTTCGCACCAGTTTTTCTTGCGCTCTCGAACGTGTTCTTCGCTTATAAACACTCTGTGCACTTGCAGCTCGACCAACCAACACACCCTCTTTAAAGAAGTGGAGGAAAAAAAAGAGAGGCCAAGAGTTTCCAGTGGCATATTGACAGTGTGGCTACTGCTTCTGCCGCTGCTGGCTGCCAAGCGAATCGCGTTGAATATCAAGCTGACAGGCAACGTTAGTTGAAAGAGAGAAGGAAGGGGATGGGAATAATTTGCAGAGGCCCGGACAGACAGGCATAAACATAGCACGCAAAGTGGTCGCGGCTCCTCCTCTCAAAGTCTCACAGCTAGATTCAATCCAGAGGCCGAGGCTTAACAGGAAGCAAATCGCGGAGAGCCATAGCTATGGAGGAGACAAGCAAAGCAAAAGCCGGGCAAAAAGCAAAGCAAAACAAGAGCAAGCAGCGCAGGCAGAAACAAAGTCATCCACAGCAAATGGAGGGAGAAAAAAATCTTGGGCTGCTTTTCAGAGGAGATTCTCTTAGAGAGATTTCTTTGGAGAGGTGGTCACGCGTGCAAACAAAAGCTTTCGTTGCGGCCAGCGATGGATGGAAGAAAATGGACGCGCCAAGGACAGACAGGATGGGCAAAGCTGCCTGTGGTCACTCCCGACCATTTGGATTATTAATCACAAGTTGTAAGGATTAGCGTTTTAACCTGTGAAATTAGCAGTGTTTTAAGTTAACTAGTCATGGTGGAACCAGCTAGTATTCTTTGTAGCTTTCCATTTTATCTCTATGCTTATGCTTGTGGATGGATATGGACTGTACAGAACGAGGTGGATATACCGTGCGCTGTAGGAACGTTCGTTTTTGGCATATTCTCCTGGCCACAAAGGCGCAACTTGGGTCATGGGCGTGAAGTACAATACAAGGAGCTAGGAAACAAAAAAACAAAATAATACATCCAAACCTTTATGCTTTTATAGCCGTATGCATTGTTAATACTTTTTTATAATAAAGTGTATACACTATTCATACTTTTATTATAAAAGCATACGAAAATTAAAAAAATATAGTTTTCCAGAAGTAGCCTGTGGACCATAGCCATTTGGCGCGAACATTTCGCTTCAACTGAAAATCGACAAGAAATGTGTGGCCCTGTGCGGAGGATCTCCGCGAATATTCCCCTTCTTCTTTTATTTTTCGGGGGTGTGCGTTTTGTGTCGTCGAGTGATTTCGATCCACTCCTTGTGTACCAGGAGATCACGAACAAGGAATGCTGGCCTCACACAAATTCGCTTAAACAACTCGGGTGTCAATCGATCGAGATCAATCTAGAAAAGCCCGAGGAAGAAAGAAAACCGCGCCCAACTATCCTATTCTATGCATAGTAAAAGCTATAGCGCGCGTCGATCAATCCATCGATCCATTCGTCCAACTGGACAGAATGTGACCCTCGAATCAATTCGATGGCGCCCGGAGAGCGAGCCCAAATGGATGGATCGAAGACCCACCTCCAAATTCTCCCGCCCCCAATGTAAAGAAACACACAAAGCCAGGGAAATTATTCTTGTTTAAACATGCATCGTGCTCTACCTTGTTCTTCCGGTGATCACGGGGAAGAAAGATTCTTCTTCTTCTTCTTCTTCTTCTAGGCTCGGAGGAGGAAAATGCTGAGCTCCTGGCCTGGGGAGCCATCCGGATTGATCATGTGGAACGACTCCGAGTCCGCGGATCCCACTACTCGCTCGTACGTAGCGCGCATGTACATGAGCTCGTCCAATTCCTGATCATCCGAACCCGCGGGATCCCCGGAGGAGCTCTGGACGGGGATCACTCCAGCGCCCATCGAGACCGATTGCATCAATCCCAGCACGGCCCTGTCGGGCTCCGTGAAGGGCCTCCTCACCGCGAATCCAACCTTGCGCCCATTGCAGTACATCGTCCACACTGGCTCCGAGTAGAGATGCCGGTCGCGCTGGTGGTGGCGGTGATTCTTCTTCCTTGGCGAGCATGGCTCGTTTGATGATTCGTGCCTCTTCTCGCATTCCATCGCGATCCGGAGGAGCCCCGAGGACATCTCCTTGACGAGGAGGACGGTGGGCATGGCCAGCTCCAGGAGCATCACGGGCGGCTCGCGGGGATCCTCCTGGATGCTCATCACCACCTTGCCTTTGCGCTGGCCAAAGATGGTGCCGGTGACGACCGAGGAGGATCGCCTGGAGGAGGAATCGTGGTCCTTGGAGGAGGAATTGGAGGAGATTGGAGGGGATGTGGTGGTGGTGGCGGTGGAGGAGGAGGAGGAGGTGGAGGAGCTCCGGATCTTGGTCTCGAATTGGAGCTTGCAGCCACAGCAGCAGGGGATCACGAGAGAGCCCAGCATCGACGCGAGAGATCTCCAGCACTTGACGTCCTTCTCGCAGTGGACGCTGGTGGGCTCGTCGATTATGTTGTCCTGCTTGCTCAAATCCACCATCTTGACCGATCTCGGCCGGCCCCCGCCCGCAATCATCGGTGCCACCCCCATAGCTAGCGAGCTCCTCTTCTTCTCTTCCCAGAGAGAAAAGCTTTTCTTTTCCGTTGCTGTGAATCAAGGAGGGAACTTGGAGGCGATTGATCAAAGAACCCAAGAAGAGCTCTACAAGATTCTCGAGAGAAAAAGTGAATTTTTTTTCCTGGAAACGATTGATCAATCAAGAACCAGCTCGCGATTTAAGCGGCCTTGCTTGGCAGGCAATCCAGTAGCTCCCAAGCCACTCAAATCGATTCTTCCATGCTCGCTCTCCTCTCTCGATTTCCTAGAGACTGTGTCGATCAAACAGCGCCTTTTTTTCCCTGACGCTAGACAAGCCCGAAAAAACAAAGTGGCAGCTCAAATAAACAAGAGTGGTCCATTCCATTCCATTCCGTCCGCCAGACCGAACGGTTACTTGGACGGAATATACACCGGCCACATAGTGAAAGATCCGCTTATTTAAGTTCTTCCATTGTCCAAAATTCCAGGAACGCATACAATTAGCTTAGCTCTCTCTCCATCTTAAATTTTTCTCTCAGTTCGTCGTCGTTATTCCCACGATACATCGCCTCTCTCGTCATGATCTCAGTATCGCAGCCAGTATGTCCGGCGGCGCAGCCAGTGGTAATCCGGAAGAATTTGCAGCGATCCCACGGCAGCAACAGCCAAGTCCTGGGAAACTCTCACCTTTAGTTGAAACCCAAAAGGAAAAGCAATGACTTTCACGAACCTGATCGTAGATGAAACGCTCCGCAACTCTCCTCACGGTCGCCGCATCCACAGCATCGATCCTGGCGAATAATTCCGCCAGGGGAATTCTACGACCATACGTGAGTATCTGCAAAAGTTACGGACACTGGAGTCAGCATTTTTTGTTTTCGCGCGAGGAAGTACCTGGCGTCCAATGTCCTCGGCGATGGGACTGGTACCATCGAGGTGAAGTAACAGGCAGGCCTTGAGCTGCATCCATCCAGAACCACGGTGTCGTTAGAACTAAATCGTGCTTCTGAAGGACTTTTGAGTAAAACCAACCTGGTTTCTAGCACGAATCACGTCATCCTCGCGAACATGGTAGACCATATGGGTCATCTCTCGCGTGATTACCCATGCAAGGTCGTCCAAAACGTCTGGCTGGAGAGGTCAGGGAGGAAATTAAGAGCGTTGCAAAAAAACTGAAACGAGAACAAAAAAAAAAGGAAAGAAAAAACAAACCTTTGCAACAGCGTAGACTCCAAATAATCCCGAGTCACTGTAGTTTGTGTTGAATGCCATGATACTCTCCGCGATATTGTTCGCTGACACCTTTTGGGCCATTTCTGACCTGTACAATCGGAAAAGTTGAAAGAGTGGACTCAAATCGTCACAGATACATACCCCATATGCTTCCCAGCTCCGGAATTCTTATTCCATGAGCCAAGCATCGTCTGCATAACCATCAAGGGAATGGAATCCGGGTCGGTCCATGAGGCTCCCTTGACAGCAATCGCAACATACGCCAGTGGAATATCATCGTCTCTAAACCTCACCTGTAAGAACAAAACAAGAAAATGTCAGCAGGAGCCTACAACAAGTTTGACAAAACTTACGTCGGACCCAGTAAAGAAAGCTGGTTCTTTCTCGATGAGATCGGCCGCTGTGGTGCCGTCGCTTGGAAGCGAGCCAAACAGCCTCTCAACATCCCGGACGAGGGCATCGTGATTCACAGCACCAGCAGCAGAGACAACCTGACAAGAAGACAAGATCAATGAAACAAGAGCACCACAGAACGAGATTTTACCATGCGTGGCCCTGTGTAATGCGTCGAGATATAGTTCTCCAGATCTTCCTTCGTGATGGAGCGGATGTTCTCCTCGGGTCCAAGGATTGTCCGGCCCAGAGGACTGTACTGGAAGGCAGTAGCATGCAAGTGATCAAACACCACTTCCTCCATCTGCCCTTCGACCTGATCAAGAACAAGAAAGGAAGAAAAAAAGCACTCAGAGAAACAAAAGAAAGAAGAAAAAGAAAAGAGCCTTTTTACCTCTTTCATCTCCCGGAGAATCACATTCCTCTCTCGCGCGATCCTGTCCTCGTCAAAGTTGGAGTTTTGGAGAATGTCGGCCAAGATATCCACGGCGACCGGCACATCCTTCTTGAGAACCTTGGCGTAGTACGTGGTCTGCTCGCGCGAGGTGTAGGCATTGAGATGGCCTCCCATATTCTCGATCTCCTCCTCCAGCTTTTGCATACTCCTCTTCTTGGTCCCCTTGAAGATCATATGCTCCAAGAAATGGGCGGTGCCATTGGTAGCATCCGTCTCGAATCGGCTGCCCGCATCGATCCACACCCCGACCGTGGCGGTCTCAGCTGCCATATTCGACTCGGTGGCGACGCGCAGGCCATTGGAGAGCGTGGTGATGCGCGTCGGGGGCGTGGCGAGGATGCTGCTGTGATCCACGGTGCTAGGGACGGGCGAGTTGAAGCGAGTGAAGCGCTCATCGGGGATGGTGAGCGAGGCGGCGGCGGCGGAGGAGGAGGCAAACCTGGAGTTCCAGCGGGCGGCCCGCCGCGCGGCAGCTGCCACAAGCCTGCTCATGGCCGAATGGAGTTGCCCTAGCGAGCTAGGGCTCTAGTGCAAAGGGGAAGAACTTTTGATTATTATAATTACCACTAATTAGTGCCTCAAAATTTTCTTGACACCTCATCTGAGAATTTGCTGTATACAACATTTCAATGGGGATGGAGTGAAATTGCAATTGTGAGAACGAAAAAAAACAAAGGCTTTCTTTCATATTTTTGAACACCCATGGAACAATCTAATAAAACAGTTACATATGTTTATAGAAATTATTATATAAAGTTAAAATATAAGTTAAAATAAAATTAAAAATAATATAATAAATATTTATTATAAAAATAATTATAGACGTCACATATTTTTATTATCAACAAATTTGGTTATGTAAATAGATTACAACTTAAATTTAATGGCTATAGAGAAACTATTTTATCCACTTTGGATTTAATAGCAATAAAAAAACATTTTATCTTAAATTTCATCTTGTTTTATGGTTACAAAGAAAACTTCTTGAGTTTTACAGCTACAAATTTTATTTTATGATTTCCTAATTAAAGGGAAAGAAATAAATTTTAAACTTAAATAAAATAATTAAGAAAGACTAAAATGATAAACAACAATATATAATAAAAAATTTATATATCTATATATCTTGATAAGAAACCTTTCTCTTGAA